CCTTCCCAAGGTGACCAGTGGAAAGACCTGGAACACTGGCCTTGACAGAAGACATTGAAGGGTGAGTATGACATAACCTTCATGGTGGAGATAACAATATCTTGCTGCTAACAAGAACAAAAGTGTCACTTCTAATAGAGACCAAGAACAGAAAATATGTGAGACAAAGCTAACATCCGGACAGTTTGGCTTCGATGGGCTATGTTTAGAGAAGGAAATAGCCACAGCAGCTTTTGCAACATGTTCTTCCTCTAAAATGGAATTTGGGGAATCTAAAAAAGGATCCCAGTCCCTTTAGCTAATAATTTGAACAATGAGTCACTGGTATCACCTTCCACTCAAGCATTTCTGTAGACAAAAGATTTAGACAAAGGGCTAATCTCTAGATGTGATCCATTAGGTCTGTAAGAGAGAGTTCTCAGCCTGGAGCCAACACACCAGGTCTTTCCTGTGCCCAGAGATACAACTGTAATAAATGTGGAACATTTACTACAAACCCATTATCAGATCACCAAAACTCAGATATAAGAGGTTAGAGACATGGCTCAGAAGTTAAGAGCACTCGCTGCTCTTGCAGAGGATCGAGTTTCAATTCCCAGCACCCACATAGTGGTTCACAGCTGTCTGTAACTCCAGTTCCAGGGGACCTGACGCCCTTTTCTGGCCTCCTGAGACACTACACAGTCATGGGGCACAGACACACACAGGCAGGCAGAATACCACACACATAAAAACAAACAAACAATAATGATGTGGATTTTCTGAGACGTGGATACCCAGAAAATCCAATACATGTGCAAAGAAAATAAGGAAGCTTTTATTAATGGATCTAACCTAAATAATTGCAAGAATGTTTATATTGCAAAGAATACTTATCAATGTAACACAATCTATAACAACTTTGACAACAGTTCACATCCTACTAAAGATCAGCACACTAATTTTTCTAAGAACCTCTACAGAAAAAAAAATCTTTCATCAACCCTCAAAACTTATTATTCTTCAATGTACTAACACTCAACCTTCCAGAGGTAGACTGTGACACAGCTTTTGCTTCAAACCTCAAACCTTATTAAACAGAGTTCATACTGGACAGAAACTGGACAAATACAAGGTATGTGGCCAAGTCTTTGACTGTCGTTCAGCCCATACAAGACAGCAGAGAAACCCTGCAGAGGTAAAGAATGTGGCAAAGTCACTAGCCATGGCTCAACCCTTCCTCAATATCAGGGAATTCATATGGAGAAAAGCCATACAGATGCAAAGGCAGTGATAGCCCTTTACCTACTGGACAATCCCTAGACTACAGAGCTCACACAGGAGAGAAACCCTATGTATGTAAAGAGTGTGCCAAGCACTTGCCCACGTGCACATCCTAAATATCACTATACACAACATCATAAGATCCGCAGTGCAGAGATACCCTACAGGTGTGAAGAATGTGGAAACATTTAACCATAGTTCAAGCCTGAGAAAATACTAGAAAACTGGCCTAGTGATGAACCCTACAAATTTGAAGAATTTGACAAACATTTTAAGTTTAATTTTTTTATTTTACTGTGGGGTGTGCATATGTATGTGTGTGTTTTAAGCACATGCCACATGTATCTGGATGGTGGCTGAGGCCAGAAGAGGGAGTCGGGTGTCCTTGGAGCTTGAGTTATAGACAGTTGTGAGCTACCTGAAGCATGTGCTGGGAATTGAACTCAGGTCCTCTGGAAGAACAGCAAGTGCTCTTCTGCTGAGCCATCTCTCCAGCCTGCAGCAACGATTTTTAATATAGTTCATGCTTTATTAAATACCAGAGAGTCCACACAAGAGAGAGACCCTACAGACATAAAGAATGTGAAAATCCCAGCCAAGTGGTGGCAGCGCATGTATTTAATCCCAGCACTTGGGAGGCAGAGGCAGGTGGATCTCTGTGTTCAAGGCCATCTTTGTCCACTGAATGAGTTCCAGGACAGCCAGGGTTACATAGAGAAACCTTGTCTCAGAGAGAAAGAGAGACAGAGAGAGAGAGAGAAAGAGAGAGAGAGAGAGAGAGAGAGAGAGAGAGAGAGAGAGAGAGCATGAAAATCCTTTAGCTAGTGATCAGTCCATAGCAAACATCAGAGTTCACACTGGAGGAAACCCTCCAGATGTCAGGAATGTAGAAAAACCTTAACCAGTGTTCAAGTTTTATAGAACATCACAGGGTGTATACTGGAGAAGACCCTACAAATGTGAGGACTGAGGCAACACCTTTAAAAAAAAGTGTAAACCTTTTGACACAGGAGTTCATTTTGGAAAGAATTTTTGTAGCTATACTGACTGTAAAGGCCTATTGTGAGTTTAGAGACACCCACTGCTCTTCCAGAGGACCAGGATTGGATTCCAAGCACCCGCTTAGTGCCTCACACTGGGAGACCTGATGCCCTCTTTTGGCATCTGCAAGTACTGCACAAACATGGTGCACAGACATACATAAAGGCAAAACACCTACATACATAACATTTTTTAATGAAAAAAAGAAAAAGACTTTTGTTTCAAATGTATGCATGAAAGAAAAGCAAAATATTTATATATTTATAAGACAAAATAATAATTGAAAATGTAAGGAGACAGGCATTGGTGGCACATGCCTTTAATCCCAGCACTCGGGAGGCAGAGGCAGGCGGACCTCTGTGAGTTCAAGCCCAGCCTGGTCTCCAGAGGGAGTGCCAGGATAGGCTCCAAAGCTACAAAGAGAAACCCCGTCTTAAAGAAAAAAGAAAGAAAGAAAGAAAGAAAGAAAGAAAGAAAGAAAGAAAGACCAAAAAAAAAAAAGATGTAAGGAGTATAGAAAGCCTCTGTTCACACTTCAGACCCTAAGATTAATGCTACTGGAGATGAAAAGCACACATACAGGAATACAGAAACATTTCTTAGAGCACTAAGAAGAGCCTCACATGCTATATAAGCCACATCCCCAGCCCAGGAAACCTGTAGTGCTTAAACTTTTCTAGATGCCATGAGTTGATGTGGAAATAAATTATCATAGACATCAGACAATTGCAGACACTGACTCTAAAATGATCTAATTGTACTATATATCTGAGGTTTCTCCATATCCTTGTTCTTGGACACTGGAGACAACACTCTTACATAGATCTTTATAATCAAACAAGATTCACTCCTGAGAATTTGCCATCTCTACGAGACAGAGCCCAGACAGTGGATTCTGGAGTGCTTTATTTAAATTATGTACATTTTCATTAAATAAAAACAAATCTTTCCTCTTCAGGGGTTTTTGTTTGGTTGTTGGTTTTGTCATTGTTTGTTTTTTGCTTTTCGTTTATTGGGGTTATTGGGTTTGGGGGGGCTTCTGGGTTTTCTTGTTTGGTTAGTTGGTTGGTTTTTTGGTTTTTAAAGACAGGGTTTCTCTGTGTAGCTGGCCTGGAACTCACTCTGTAGACCAGGCTGGCCTCAAACTCACAGAGATCTGCCTGCCTCTGCCTCCAAAGGTGCTGGGATTAAAGGTGGGTGCCACTATACCTGGCAAAATGAATCTTTCTAATGAGCTGTTACTTTTGTATTTTGAATAGATTGCCACAGACGTTAAGCTTTTCCATTCTTCTTAAAGCTTCTAAGTAACAGATATTAACCACACACCCAGGCAAATGGTGTGATGATTGTCTAGTAACCATTGCCAGGGTTAGTTTCTATACTTTGAAATAATTGGAACAATTATTTTTACGAATTACATTATAGATGCACAGATTAAGATACATGGGACTTGGTTAAATATAGGTTGATTTTATTCGGAGACAAGTCACTTGCATAAGAAACTGATGGCCCGCAAGTTCCAGCTCCAATGATCCACATGAAGGCTGCTCTCCTTGACCCGAGAGGAACCAAGAGAGAGTGGTCTGGGGTCTGGGCCCCAGACCAAATACCACATGCTTACATGTGCACCTGTGAGCGTGGTCAGCGCCACAGATTCGGCTAGGTGGGTGTCTTACTACATTACATCTTACTTTTTTGTGAACTTTTTGTTTTGTTGTTTTTTGTTTTTGTTTTGTTTTTCAAGCCAGGGTTTCTCTGTATTGAAACCAAAAGGAGGCTGTCCTGGAACTCTCTCTGTAGACCAGGCTGGCCTTGAATTCACAGAAATCCACCGGCCTCTGCCTCCCGAGTGCTGGGATTAAAGGTGTGCGCCTCCACTGCCCCGATACATCTTACTTCTTTTTGTAAATTGATGGTCATGGGAGTGATGTTACTGGAGTGTGATTAAAAAGCCCCAGATTTCAGAATCTTAAATTAATTGCCTTTTGTGAAATTTTAGCCTTAATTGTTTTCATGAACCATTCCATGACCTACAAGACATACAAACTTTGGTTTTGATTTACATTGACTGAAATATACAGTGTAATGGTAAGCCTTGGGATCAAGAAGAGATTGGTATTCTGGGCAGGGGTTGTGCACAGCTTTAATCCCAGCACTCGGGAGGCAGAAGCAGGCAGATCTCTGTTAGTTTGGGGCCAGCCTGGTCTTCAAAGAAAGTTCCAGGGCAGTCTCCAAAACCTACAGAGAAACCCGGCCTCGAAAAACCAAGAGAGAGAGAGAGAGAGAGAGAGAGAGAGAGAGAATGGTAGTGGCCAGAATAGTATATGCTGTATACATACAAAAAAAAAAGGGGGGGGTACTTATTGAAATGAAAGATAAACTTAAAAATAAAATTTAAAAAATAAAATATTAAATCTCCTCTACCCGGACTGGAGGAAGGCTCTCTCAGTTCTAACTAGGCCATCATGCCATGGTTGATCCTGTGAGCCAACACTTGCCCTGGGGTCAGCATTGTGAGCCCTCCCAGAACACCAGCTCTGACCCCACACCACTGCACCATTCCTACCCACTCACTGTGCCTACCATGCAATGGTTTGGCTCTCTCTTGCACATTGTTACATCCTCAGAAATCTTCACACTACCATTGTTTCCACGATTACCCTTTGAAAAACATCAAAGTATCAAGAGGACTCCTGTCTGGTCAGTGCTTTAAGGCCCCAAATCTGTACAAATGTATCCACCCGCTCAGCCTAAGTTTCTGCCCACTGGATCACAAATCTCTGCTCACACATGAGGGTGTAAGGTAGGCTCTGCCCTGCCGTTGGGGCAGCATCTAGTCTCAGTTCGGAAGAGATGGCTCAGAAGGAAATAGATGTGAAGCAAGACTTGAAACAAACCTTTCCCTCTGGGGGAGCATGGCCTTCTTGGCATCTCCATTCCAGACCCCTGAACTTCAGTCAAAGAGAAAACAAACCTCCAGTTCCTGGTACTCTGTTAGGGCAGGCCTAGGAAAATAACAGTCATATTCTAGTCTACCCATCATACCCTCTGGACCACCCCACAGGTAGTTGGGGTATGAGTGCCCCTCACAGGCCACAGCTGCTGAGGAATAGTCACTTCCAACTCAACAGTGGCCCTCACTTCAGTTTTTCTCCTAGGAACAGTGGAATGTTGGGGACAGGAGGTAGTGAGGTGGTTTGCACGAGAACGTCCCATAGGCTCAGATATTTGAACACTTGGTCCCCAGCTGGTGGTGCTGTTTAGGAAGGTTGTGGAATCTTTAGGAGGTAGAGCCTTGTTTGGGTAATAAAACATCACTTCCAGTTGACTCTGCTCCATGCTTTTGGTTACGATGTGAGCGCTCAGCTTCCTGCTCCTGCTGCCATGCCTGCCACTTGCTGCCAAGCCTCTGTACCATGATATATTCCTATCCCTCTGGAACCTTAAACCAAAATAAACTCTTTCTTCTATAAGTTGCTTTTGGTCACGGTGTTTTATCACAGTAACAAAAAAGTAATTAATATAGATGGGTAAGATTTCTTTGAAGCATTCAGTGAGACTCCATCCTGTTGATCTCGGGGATGGACAACCCCACTTGCTCAAAGCTCTACCCTTCTTCCCAGCCCCAGCCATCCATGGTCTGTAACATCACCTTCAGTCTTAGTGGGAAGGGACAGAAAAGGGACATTTCACCTGTTTATGTTGTCTCCGCAGTGTCCCCTTGACCCAGGCTAACCCTTTAAGGGTATGAAGACAGACCAGGCTGCCTGTCATACCCTCTTTTCAGGACTGTGACAAAGCCAGAAAGAAGAGAGGAGTCCTGACGCTGAGAAGCTGAGTGTGGAGGCCTCCCCACCACACGGCACAGCAGAGCGGTAACAAACAGCCTGCTGCTTCCATCCACATGGCCTCTGACCAATGCACAGTTGCCTCCTCTCTGGAGTTCCATGCCCACTCAAGGGCCAGTCCCAGGGCCTTTAGTTCAATTCACCTCCCCAAAATAGACATGGTGCACCTGGCTGAGACAGGCTGAGACTGAGTGTGGTGCCATCTGAGGGTAGGAGGGAGGAAAATGTCCACATCCCTTGGTAGATATCAGGCCCTGCTGGATATAGGGAGGGTCACAGGCTGAGCCTGTGTGAGCTCAGGGCTTTGAGTGTGTCCTGGGAGTGCTAAGGGGCGGCACTCCTCACAACAGTCCAAGATGCAATAGTCGCTGCTGCCTCTGTCTGTGTCTACAGGAGGGGGCCTGACAGAGCCCAGAGGCGCCCAGCCATCCTGGGGTAGGTAGGCAGATGGCTGTCCTTCCAACTCCAGACACCCTGCTGGCAGCACATACTCTAAGCTTGGAGGCCCTGGGAAGCCAGGGCCTGTGCCTTCCCACTTCAGGCTGGAAAATTGTGCAGGGCATGCTGGGCTGTAGGTGAGAGTTGTGATGGCCTCCCAGATGCTGGACTCTGAGCCTGCTGACGGAGTGCTGACACCATTCTGTCTTGGTTGTAGTCCAGCTCTGTGGGCCCCTGTCCAGGTCTGAATCAGAGCAGGGGTCAGGAGAAAAGCTCAGACAGCATGTTCAGGGCCCACTGTGGGAGCAGAAGCCTCCCCCTACACAGCCCAGATCTCCTCCTCTGGGAAGTTCCACCATGCAATCCCAGAACCAAGCAGCGCCCATGCCCAGAGCCATCTCCCTCCCACGTATGAAGCCCTGGGTCTCTTCAGGCCCCTCAGTAACCCCCTCAGCTGGAGACCGCAGACTTATAACAGCATGAACCAGTACCAAAGAGAAAAGGAAAGATGTGACAGGTGCCAAAGACAAAACAAAACCATGACAGAATGCTCTCCATGGCCACCCAGCAGAGACAGATGGGACCCCCCTAAAAGCAGTGACACACAAAACTAGAGACAGTCTGGAGCCTCTACATAGCAACAGGAGAGTTGGGCCTCCCAAAGGGTGCTGTCTCTCAGCGGGACCAGGAGCCTCTACAAAATGGCCCTGTGTCTCACAGTCCATCATGCTGTGCCATGACAAGTTGACCCAAATACAGCAAAATTTGTGCCCATTACAGATGGGGTACAAATGTAAGCCTGCTATATACACAAAAGAGGCTCAGAGCACAGTCAAGACCCCCACGCTTGCTCATGCCTCACCCCCAGTGTAAGCCCAGACTCAGCACACACAAGGCAGACTTCTAGGCTGTTTCTGCCCCTTGTAGTGCCACACTTGACCCCGCCTCCCTGAAGTTCCCCTGCACACACCTGGAAGTCCCCATTGTACACACTGAAGAGAGGATGGAAGAATGCTGCTGGGGAGGGGACATTCTGGTAGACAAGTCTCTTCACCCTGAAACCAAAATAGAGAAGTCAAGACCAAGGGACCCAGATAGAAGCCCTTCCCAATGTCACACTCCAGAAAGCTTAAGTCACTGCCAAGACTTGAGCTCCCGTCTACCTATCAGATGCTCACTACATCCAAAGCTGTCTGTCCTCAAAGGACTACTAGGCACAGCAACATCTAGTTGTCTATTGTTTCATCCTCTCTTGGATGCGGCTAAAAGCTCCAGAGATCACATCTGTGTCATAAACAGGTAGCTGTGGTTCCCCAATCTCACACAGACATATACTAATGCATGTGTAACCCAGTCACTTACAGTCATGTCCACAATTCATTCACACATACACGGTCACAACCACATGGGTATCTACCTGGGTGACAGCTTGAACAGAAGGTGGATAAGGCCTGTCAGCAGAAGAAAGACGGACACAGCAACAAGGATGCTATCCGACCACCGCCAGGATGGGAGCAGGAGGCCTGTGGGCAGAAAGAGTCCGTGGCTGTGAACAGGCCTCAGTGCCAGGATGTCTCCCTAAGTCCACATGGGGAAAAAAAGCCACCTTTAGTTCTCTGAGCCAAAGCAGAGAGTTTAGGATGGGCCTTGGGTTTGTGTCATACCTCTGATGTTCCTGGGATGATCTCTTCTGTACCCCTCCTTTCCCATCTGCCATAAGGCCAGTGGTCATCACTGTACATAGGCTCAGCCCAGCACTCACAAAGGACACAGGTTTGTCCAGCCTCAGACAAAAGCCTCAGCCAGTGTGCAGTCCTGGAAACCCTTGCTCCTAATGGTGGCCACTAGCTATGAACTCCTCACTCATCTCAGAAGCCCGGGGCAGGCTGTAGGTTGATGAAATGGAGGAGGGACAGGAGGAACCAAGGAACAAAGACTCAGCCCAGGTGCGACAAAGCAGCCACCACACAGCACCTACCCTGTCTCCATCTCCGGGGAGAGGGAAAGGACACAGGCTGGCTCCACTCACTCCAGTGGTTTGTATAATACTCCTCCTCTGCCATGTCACCCTCCTCCTCTGATGAAGTCATCTGGACACGCAGTCTGGCCTCATAGATGGAACCAGGATTCAGCTCAACAGCTTCAAGGCTGAGCCAGGTCACCCCAAATATACGGTCCTTGTGCCGGGCCTGCTGCAGGGTTGGGGGCATTTGACTGAGTACAGGGTCCTAAAGAATGGACATGTGTGTACCAACAAGCCCATTCACACATATTTATACACACCTATGGGTACATGTATACACTCATCCATTTACATACTCTCCAGTATGCATTCACCCATATAAGCACAAAGCAAAGACACACTCATACACATATAAACACACATGTACAAATAGGCACACTCACACACCCTATGTTCATAGACACACACAAGAATAGGTTTGTCTGTAGCCAGCACATACATGCACCTCTAACTCTGCCTCCCCCTGTTCTCACCACTGACGCTAGCCAGTCCCAGGAAAGAGACCTCAGAGAGCTACCACCGTGTTACCTCCCAGGCCTCTTCCTGCTTCTTGAAAGCCAGCTCATAGCTGAAGAGTGACTTCCAGGGCTCCAGGGCAAACTGGATACTCCAGGTCAGGACACAACGCCCAGAGCTGACATTGCTCTGCAAATCCGAGGGGGGATCCAGCTTCACTGAAACAAAGAGGGGCCCAGTGAGGCTGAAGCTACATTGTGTCCCTCAGCATGGCCAGAACTGGGACCAAGGACATTACCAAGAGCTCATGGTCAAGGCTCCCTCATACTAGGGACCTCATTCTTGGGGAAAGGCAGTCAATGACTTTCTTAAGCCTCCCCCCCCCAACCCCCACAAGGTAATTTCCTTCACAGTTGGTTGCTGGAAGTTCTTCCTGGTGCCTCCCCAGAGTAATTCCTGCTGTGATTAAAGTGCATTTCCAGTAGCTCAGACTGTAGTCTCTACCCCCAGGTGGCCATGTCTTTTCATGCTTTGCCCAAACCACCCTGCAGCAGCCATTATGCCCCCTTCCCAGGGTCCTGTTTGGCAAGGATTCTCAGGCAGAGTCAAAGGCTCAAGACCACAACCTCAGAGGCAAGCAACAAGGCCACTCCTGGCAGGGCTGTCCCACTCACCATGTTTCCATGGCAGGAACTGTGAGTCCACCAAGCTGACCTGCTCCTGCCCCATGACACAGCGGTGCAAAGTGATGGTGAAGTTGTCAGTCGGCACCAACACCTCCTCAGGGGGCAGCACAAGGGTACACACGCTGTCCTCGCTGTCCTCGAAGGTGCACCTGTGCCTGATGTCGGTCACCTGGTTACTGGAAAGGCCATGTGTTCGCATCATGGATGCTGCCACCACGGGGACCCTGTACCCTCCCCGAGCAGGCCTGGCCCTCCATCCTCACCTGGTAAAGAGAAGCCAGGCCCTGGATGCCAGGCCCAGCTCTGGAGCTGACCTGTAGCAGTCAATCCTGAAAAGTCTGTTGCTGAGGCAGGTGAATGTCCCAGCCTTCGGTCCTGGGGATGGTGGGAGCACACAGTAGGGCCTCAAGGCAGAGATGAGGTCGGTGGGGAGGATCTGACCAAACAGACTCGGAAGAAAGTCCCAAGGGAATGTGTCAGGGGCAAGATGAGAGGTTTGAGAATGGCTGGGTTTTGCCCATGGTACCTGGGCCAGTCAGACCTCAGAGCTTTGTGGGGTGGGAGATGGAGGGACACTAGAGGACAGGTTCCAGAAGTGTTTTGGGCCCATGTGTTTCCCTGGGTTGTCACAGGTGACAACTTGTCCCCAGTTCCCCTAACTCTCTATCCAGCCACCTCAGGACGATGTGGCACCCAACCCTCACCTGTTCCCTGCTCTGGGACAGGGACTCCCCAGCAGATGCAAGAGCCGATACAGGTGTAGATCAGGAACCAGGGGCCCAGGACCTGTTTCACTGCCATCCTCTCCAAGGTCCAACCTGCAAAAGACTAAACTGTAGGGTCTGTGTTAGGCACCCCTGTGGGAGGTTTCCCCTGTCCTAGGTACCCCATGGGAGGCCTGCTTGCCACAGCACTCTGCACAGCAGGCGCACTTACGGAGTCCTGTGGACAGAACTGGGCACAGCTCTCCAGCTTCAGTGATTAACGGAAGCTTAGAAAAGCCACTTGACCCAACCAAAGACTGGAACCTTCAGCACTGAGCTGTCCCCTCAGACTCAGATCTCCTGATCCTAGGCTCTGACAGCAGCATATGCTCATTTACCTGCCATCATTCTCAGCACGGTACCCCAGGCTTGGCAATACCTGCACTTTCTGCCTTGGTTCATGTTTGTTTTGAGATGGGGTCTCTCTACGCATGTATGGCAACCTGGAACTAACTCACTGCCTCGAACTCGAAGATCCCCAAGCCTCTGCCTCTTGAGTGCTGGGATGCTGGAATTAAAGGTGTGCACCACCATGCTCAGCTCTACCTAGGTTCTGACAACTGTCCAGCCAAAGACTGTTCATTCGCAATGCAGAAGTAGAGTGACATAGAGGGTCACAGGGCAAGCCTCTGTGCATTCTCTTACTTGTTACTCCTGACACAGAGTAACAGAGCTCTGCCCCAGGAACACAGGACAAGAGAGCAGTAGATGTCTGTCTACACAACAGACAGCTCTTCCCAGACTGCATGCCATGCACTGTCCTCAGATATCCCACAAAGGGAAGCCCCTGAGAAAAGCAAGACCTTGAGCCCTGGGATCCCTGATGAGCCAGGAGTGGATCGGGACCAAAAGCTTATGTCTCAGGAAGTGCCTGGCTGTGTGACTACTGAGGCCCTGTCACCCATTTACATCTACAGATGGCTGGCTGATAGCCCCTGAGCAGGAAGCAGGGCCACCCGAGTTATACAAGCCTGATTGGTGATAAGAAAGAAGGAAACACACATGCACAGAGACCACAGCACTGGCCTTCCAGGAGCCGGCACCACCTCGGCAAGCAGCACCCTGGCCGACCGGCCAGAAGCCCATCCACACAACCCAAGGCAGATGTCTATTAACTACAACCCACCACCCAGCAGTCTGCTTGTCTGTCTGCACCTCTAGGTGTCACCAAGGACACAAAAGCTAAGCTTCCCAAGTAGTACACATCTGCTCTTGTGGAGATTATTGGCAAAGTGGGGACGACATATAGACTCTCATATACTCCCAGGGTGTGTGACAGCTGGATCCTAGAGTGACAGAACCTGGAGGGAGGATCAGCACTGCCACCACTTCCAGCTGAGAACTGACACAGACCTCAGGGACAGCTTGACCCATGAGCAGATGGTTTGAGGGCAGGGAGTAGAGTGACTTTCAGCCCAGCATACCCCATTTCTAGCCAGAGACAAAGGCTTGATGCAATGTAGTCATTGTGTGGGCGGACAGCATTTCCTCCCCACAGGGTACCTCCATCTGCACTGGGTGACTTGGGTAGGGTGGGGTCACTACCCTTCTAATGATGAGAAAACAGAGACCCAGAGAAACCAGAGACTAACCCAGTATGTGCTCTTGGCCCCTCTGTTTTAGGAAGGGGTCCCACAAACTGTCACAGCATCCAGGAACTTTCTGAGAGCAATGTGTGAGTGCTTAGGGCTTAACCTCACCAACAAGGCCAAAGTCTTGGGCGTCACAAGCCTCTCTCCCCGAAACTCTACCAGGACAGGTTGGTACATATCAGTGACAGGAGGACTCCAAGACAGACCTTGGGCCAGGTTCTTGGGACAGAGGTAGACAACTGAACACTTATTGATCCTTGAAGACGAGCTGGGCTAGGACCAAAAAATGTCTGACCACACTCTAGACACACCAGGCTACAGAACCTTGAGAACCAGGAGAAGCCAACATCTACAATCTTGGAATGGACGCTCCCAGGTATGTAGCCCTGCTCTGGAGCCCCCACCACTGCCCAGCACAGCCCCTCATATCAGATGTGAGGACATAGCCCTAGCCTCCCAGCCTCTCAAAAAAAAATGATAAGACTAATAACAATAACAATAGAGTTGTGGTCAAAAACAGAGGTAGGTAAATACTCTATAAGGAGCCACAGCTATGCCCTACTGTGTGTGTGTGCACGCTTGTGTGTGTGAGTGCGCATGAACATAAATACACAAGGTACTTTGACAGTCTACCACTGAGCTGCATTCCAGGTCCTCTTTTTTACCTTTTATTTTGAGGCAGGGCCTAGCCTGGTTAATTTTATGTCAACTTGACATGAACTAGAATCATTAGACTGGACTAGAGCCCCACCTCTTCTATATTCTGAGATTTACCTCCAGCCCTGTTGGCCTCCCTACCCTGATTTTCTGGGCCACAATGGAGGATATACTGCCCTAAAAACTGGCTTCTGTCTTTGACACAGAGAAGGATCTCCATACAGTCTCTGCCTCTCACCCTCCCCGACCAGAGTCAGCTACCAGAATGGGCACAGGGCTACCAGCAAGTGGCACAGGGCTACTTAGTGCTGTATGGAACATGCAACAAGTCAGCTTCACTTCAAATGAGTTATTCCCTTGCCAATTGCCACACAGAACCATATAACTGTATAGGTATAGGCATATGGTGGGGTAGATTGGCTCAGCAGTTAAAGAGCACTGGTTGCTCTTCCAAAGGACCCAGGTTTAATTCCCACCACCCACATGACAGCTCACAGCTCCAATTCTAGGGGATCCGATACCCTCACACAGACATACATGCAGGCAAAACATACACTCTAAGAATAAATACATTTAAAAATAAATAAATAAATAAATAAATAAATGTATGCACATACCATGCTGTAGCCAGGCACAGTTGTACAGGCCTGTAATCCCAGTGCACAGGAGGTTGAGGCAGGAGGATTACCTTGAATCCCAGTTCACCTGGGAGACATAGTGAGTTCCAGACCAGTTGGGCAGGGCTACAGAGCAAGACCCTGTCTCAAAAAACATTGATAATACTAATAGCAACTATACAGTTGTGGTCAAGAACAGGGCTAGGTAAGTACTCTACAAGGAACCAGTCAAGCCCTGCTCTGTGTGTGTGTGTGAATGTGTGCGTGTCTGTGTATACATGCACTCATGAAGTACTGTAATACTCTACCAGGTCCTCTGTGTAACAGTTCTGGCTGTCCTGGAACTCATTTTGTAAAACAGGCTGGCCTTGAACTCACAGAGATATGCCTGCCTCTGCCTCCTGAGAGCTGTGTACCACCACCACCCAGCCAGCAGCAAGTGGCCCTAACTGCTGAGCTATCTGTTCATCTCTTCTTTTCCTTTCTCCCAGTACTGGGTGTTATCCCAGGGCCTTGTGCATGCTAGGCATGCACCTACCAACTGAGTTACATCCCCAGGCCCTGCTTTCTGTCTTAACAAAGGTGGGGGAACTCCCTATTCTCATGCCCACCCACAAAGCCCACAGAAATGGAGGAGGATGGAAGGTGGCTGCTCTTTAAGCAAACCTTGTCCAGCAGTGTCTTCTCTCTGGAGGGAGACACCCTGCTCTCCGGCAGTAGCAGGAGTCTGTGGCATATGGAAGCTGTGCCAGGAAATGGGGCTGGAGGTGGGCACGGGATCCAGCTTCCCCTCTGGAAAACCCCACAGAGTGTGAGGACCTCCTCTATCACAGGGGGGGGGGAGGAGGGGATCCCGAGCCTGCTGTGCACAGGGTGTGTGAGCACAGTGATGATGCTGATGGAGTAGGGATGGTAAGAGCCGGAAGGACAGGGCCAGCAGACCAACTGGGTGAGGACCAAGGAAGGTGACAGTCTGGAAGGAGCAGAGGTGTCAAGGCAAAGAAGGGAGCCCCCAGAAGCACCTTCCCACACACTTCCTGCAGGAAGGACAACTAGTGGGGCAGATATCCGAGGCACACTTGGCTGGCCTCACATGAGGCTGGATGGAGAAGTGGCAGGTGTACCAGGGAAGGGAAGGGTGGGGCTCTGAATAGCACAGGGAAGCTGGCAGGGAGGTGGCCAGGGAGCTCCTCCTGGCATTCTTACTCAGTCCCTCCAACTGGCTTCTTTACCCATCCGAAAGCACTTGCCCACCTTCCAGCCTCACCTCATTGCTTGATGGGACAACTGCATCCAGGCTCAGCCAGCTGAGCCACTCAGCACCTGAGCAAGAGGTCCTGGCTACAGGCAGGGCTCAAGCAGATGTACTGGAACTGTACACGAGAAGGGTGGGCGGGTGGGAGGAAATGGTGCCCCACAACTGCCACAGCCTTCATGAGGAAGTGCCTCCTATGCCCTGCACTAGCAGGGGCCTCCCCTCAAGCCACCTGCAGGCAAAGCTAACTCAGCCAGATGGGCAACTTAGAGAGAGGCCCTCCCTGATAATGCATGTCTCTTGCACCAGCCCAACTCCTTAACAAAAGTGCCCTCTCATGTCCCTACCAAAGGCACCCTGCTCCTGCGGGTATCCAGGACTTTTCACCAGAGTGGCAGTCATGGGTTGTAGTTTACTCGTAGGAGGCTGAGCACTGGTCAAGTGTAAGGCCAGGGCATCAGTGTCGTGGAAAGACCAAGTTAGGGAAGAAAAGGAAAGTCCCAGCAAAACAGCCTCCCGATGCCCAGTAACCCAGAAACAGAGACTCCTGCTCACCACACACTCTCTCCTCTCCGTGCTCCCAACCCCACCAAGCTACCCTTCTGGAATTCACCCACATTCACTGCCTCCATATCCTCTTCTACCAGAAAACTTTCAAAGTATCTGGGGGTTTAGGGGACTTTACCAACCCTGGGCCAGGCTGTCAGGTTTCGTCCCCCTAAAAGTCAGCTCAATCAAAGAAGCTTTGAGAAAGCCAAGCTTCTTCCATAATCAGCCATGCATCCTGTCCTTCCCTCTGTCACTTTGGGGCATAGACACACTGACATCACCCCCACCACCACTGCAGCCTTGAATACTGTAGTTTGTCATTTCATGACTCTCTGCAAAGATGTCATCTCTGGGAGATGTTCAAGACCAGTGCAGTAGATGAGGTCCAATGAGGGTATCACCCACATTACCAGGGACACCGTACCTCACGTTGATTTGAGAAGAGGGGAGCCCTAAACACAGACTCACCTTCTGAAGTGCATCCTCTCAGGGCCATAGAGCGTCACAGGCAACCCCAAGCAGGAGGTGACTTACTGCCAACTGTCCTGTGTGAACTGCAAAGTCCCTTACCTGATCCAGGAGATAAGTCTTAGCAGGCGAACACGGGCCACCCACATCTGAAACCACAAGCACATCACAGAGCTAATGGCCTCCATGGAGCTTGGCTGTCGCCATCTGTTGCAAGCTGGAGAACAGTAAGGGGGAAACAATTTCACCCCATGACACTGAGCATTGCCAAACAGAGACGGTAGATGTACTTGTCCTGACTGACAGAGTGTGCACTGTCTTCCCAGGAACCCCTCTACAGGAGGGGCACAGGCAGCAAGGACGTGGTACAGAGCAGTTCTTCAGCAGAACCCCTTCTAGGTTTTTCCCCTTCGAGGTTTTTCTGAGATACAGCACTGGCAGTGTCAGTGTAAAGTAAGTAACAACTCAGTCAAGAAAAACAAACAAGAAGGTCGGTTGGTGGGGCACGCCTTTAATCCCAGCGCTCTAGAGGCAGAGGAAGGGGGATCTCTGTGAGTTTGAGGCCAGCCTGGTCTACAGAGGGAATTTCAGGACAGTCAGAGATACACAGAGAAACACTGTCTCGAAAAACAATAGATAGGTAGGTAGATAGATACACAGACAGATAGATACACAGATAGATACACAGACAGACAGGCAGGCAGATAAAATTTTTCACACAAACAGAAAGAAAAGCAACTAGTACAACCAGACAAACAGTACAACAGGGATTTTGAAATGGGAGAGCATTACCTCTCTCCTCACAGATGTCCTTGTGAACAGACACTTATGTAAATTTTTATTTAGTTTTTGGTTTCTGTTTTTCCTTCCTTCCTTCCTTTCTTCCTTTCTTTCTTATTTTTTTTTTTATTTTTCTTTTTTGAGACAGGGTTTCTCTGTGTAACAGTCCTAGTTGTCCTGGAACTCACTTTGTAGACCAGGCTGATCTTGAACTCACAGAGATCCGCCTGCCTCTGCCTCTCAAGTGCTGGGATTAAAGGCGTGCGCCACCACTGCCCTGCTATTTTTTATTTTTATTTGTTTTTTGAGACAAAATCTCTCTATTATGTTGCTCTGGCTGTCCTGGGATTCACTATTGGAAGCAGGCTGGCCTCCAACTGATACTGATCCTCCTGCCTCTGCCTGCTGAGTGCTGGGATGAAAGGTGTGCGCCACCACACTCGATTTTAGTGGGCTTTTGTTTTGTTTTTGTTTTATGTGTATGGATGTTTGCCTGCATATATGTCTCTGCACCACATGTGTGCCTGGTGCCCTTGGAGGTCAATCAATTCCTGCTTGTGAGCCACCATGTGGGGGCTGGGAATCAAACCAGAGTCCTCTGAAAGAGCAATCAGGGCTTTTAGCCGTTGAGTCATCTCGCCAGTCCCCAAGCACAGTTGTTTTTGTTTTTTAAGCTCATACAAGATTATTAGATATCAAAAAAAAAAAAAAAACAGAGCTAGAAAAGCCACCCTGAAGACAGTGAGCAGGGCATGGTGACTCATGCCTATAACCCCAGCACTTGGGAACTAGCTAGTCAGGAGGCTCTACAGAATGAGTTCAGGACCAGCCTTGGCTACATGAGACTGTGTCCCAAAAATAAGACGGAATGGGTTGGGATAAAGGGAATAAATCATATTACATGAAGCACTAACTAAAATAGATCTTCTGGAGTTTTGCTATAAGCCTTCTGTGAGTACCACATTTGTTATTATTTTTATGAATTACTATTATTATCATTAATTTGGTCCTCACTACTTAGAAGAATGAGCAAAGTCATTTGGGCTCTCGGTTGACCAGATGGATCAGTATCATCTCTCCATTTCCTTTATTTCCTTTTCTAGTGTTCATTGCCAAATACATAATGGAATTTTTTGGGTTGTTTTTTTTTTTTTTGGTTTTTCGAGACAGGGTTTCTCTGTGGCTTTGGAGGCTGCCCTGGAACTAGCTCTTGTAGACCAGGCTGTTCTCAACCTCACAGAGATCCACCTGCCTCTGCCTCCCAAGTGCTGGGATTAAAGGCATGTGCCACCAATGCCCAGCTCATAATGGAATTTTTATGTAAAAAGTGGCATATTCATCTATATCAGCTAGGGGTTCTAGAGGAACAGAACCAATAGAATTGATGCATAATAAAGGAGTTGTAGCCGGTTAGTGGTGGTGCACGCCTTTAATCCCAGCACACGGGAGGCAGACGCAGGTGGATCTCTGTGAGTTCGAGGCCAGCCTGGTCTCCAGAGCGAGTGCCAGGATACTCTCCAGAGCTACACAGAGAAACCCTGTCTCAAAAAACCAAAAAAAAAATTAAAATAAAATAAAATATATTAAATGAGTTGTATTAGATTGGTTTGCCTGATACAGTCTGGGTATCCAACAACAGCTGCCTGCACACTGCAGAACCCAGTAGGTGCTCAGTCCTCAAGGCTGAATGCCTCTGCAGTTCTAATCTGGTGCTGGAGACCAAGAGAATTCTTGGAGAAACACTGGTCTTCAATCGATGTTGGAAGCTGAAAAGGCTGAGTTCCAGTGTCACTGGAGGACAGTGGGAACAGTGACAGCAACAGAATAGATAACTCATGAACAAAATACAAAAGCAAGCAGTCAAAAAGCAAACTCTTTCCCCTCAGACCACTTTATATTAATATCTAAGCTGCTACCAGAAGATGTGGCTCACATTCCAGGTGAGTCTTAGCATTTCAATTAATGTAACCAAGAAAATCCCAGATACCAGAATGGCCAAGTAGTTATCAGATTTAAGAAAATCCACCACAGGCATGCCCAAAGAGTGACCTGATCTAAATAATACCTCACAGATAAGCCAGAGACTTGTGTCACAACAATTAGGAGCAGTGGCTGCTCACCCAGCACCCAGGTTCAATTCACAGGACCCACATGATGGTCCATACTCTGTAGCTCCAGCCCGAGGGGATCTGACACCCTCTCCTGACATCTGTGGGCATTGCACACGAATAGTGCTTAGAAGAAAAAATGCAAAGCACCCATACACACGCGATTAAAATGGGCACTACAATTGTTACAGGGACTGGTGTAAAAGGGCAACAGAAAGAACAAGAAGACTGGAGACCAGAGACGATGTGAGCAGATGGGAGCCTGGCACTGCTACTCTGTGCAGCACAAAGGACTACGGGTCCCGCCTAGATTTTTTTGTTTGTGTTGTCTTTCGTGAGAGGGTTTACTTACCTGTTGTGGCCCTGGCTATCCTAGAACTAGCTCTGTAGACCAGGTTGGCCTAGAACTCAGAGATGAGTTCTGCCTGCTTCTGCCTCTCAACTGGTTGGACCAAAGGTGTGAGCTACCACGCCCGGCTCAATCTCATTAGGTTTTTTGTTTGCTTGTTTTGTTTTGTTTTTCGAGACAGGGTTTCTCTGTGTAGCTTTGGAGCCTATCCTGGCACTCTCCACTCGCTATGGAGACCAGGCTGACCTCGAACTCACAGAAATCTGCCTTCCTCTGCCTCCCGAGTGCTGGGATTAAAGGCGTGCACCACCGCCCCGCTCAATCTCACCAGGTTTTAAGTGGACCTTTCTGGTCACTTTTTGGAATGGAGCCCGAGGCAGAATCCCTGAGTTGCCGAGACCTGGCAGGGACATAGACTCGGAGGTAGCAACGACTGATCCCGAGCAGCAGGAGGCACCCACTTCCTAGTGTCGCTTTGTGAGTGATGCTGTCCTGGTGGAGGCGGAGGGGGGTATAGGTGTCTTGGGTGAGGCGACGGCAGTACTGGCCCTCCCTGACGACCAGACCAGGTAGAAACCCAGTGGACCCGACTGAATTCTACAACCAAGCACACGACTGCCTGCACATAGCTCCCGCGCTGCCCGCACTGCGCACGTGACCCGCCCTATCCCAGCCTAACCGGCGTTCTCGCACCTCTCATTGGTCACTGAAGTCACGCTGTGCACCAATGACCGAACTACCTCGCCAGGGGCGTGGCGCAGTCACTGCGCACGCGCTGGAAGGCAGGCCCGGCTGAAGGAGCGACAGAAAAGCGAGACTACCGGTAGCTGGCAACCCTGGAAGACTCGGAGCCCGCGGATCGGCCGGAAGTGCCTGAGGACGATGAGGATGATGAGGAGGCATTGCCACATTCCGAGGCCGTGGACGTGTTCCAAGAAGGTCTCGCCATGGTAGTGCAAGACCCGCTGCTCTGCGACCTTCCGATCCAGGTGCGCGACAGGGCTCTGGATGGGCACCCGTGGTCCCACCAGCGAAGGACGCTTCTGTGCATAAGCGGAAAGTTTGGGGTGAGAGGACCCCAAAACACTCCCTCGCAGGCGTGAAAAGTTAGGATTAAACAAATACTAAGATTTTTAACTCAGGAGCAGTGTGACTGGTCTTTTTCCATTTGCCTCAAGCATCAATATGCGTGGGCATAGTGATTCTTTAATGTATTTTTTGACCTTGTCCGTCAAGGGTGTTTTAATCTAACTTCTGTGTCCTCACAGAACTGGGAATCAGACTTGGAGCCTTTCGAATGCTAAACAAGTGCTCTACCACGGAGTTACACCACTTTCTCAACTTTTACTTCCCTCAGTGTTTTATTAAAACATCTGTCGTTACCAGGCGATAGTGGTGGCACACGCCCTTAATCCCACCACTTGGGAGGCGGAGACAGGCGGATCTCTATGAATTCCAAGCCAGCCTGACCCATTTAGAGCTCTAGAACATAGTGTGTCCCTGCCTCAAAACAAACAAAACTATTTTGTCATCACTGGGTTTTGGTAGCTAGTAAATTTGCACCCTTGCCCTGCCTCAACCTAGTCCTACCACACTGCTTGATATAGGACTCTCAGAATCATCAGGCCCAGTGTTCTTCCCTTGTGCAGCTCTGTTTCCATGCATGTTCCTTTGCTCCCTTGTGGGACTTTTTAAATAGAAAATCCTAACCATAGCAGGCAAGAACCCCATATCTGTGCTCTTCATAATACAGGGCACCACTTTGGGGCACTGTCAGCTTGGTTTCCATTGTTATTGTTGGGGTGTTAAGAGAAAGCATCTCCACATCCCTTTGGTCTTTCCTAGGTCACTTTAGAAGAGGTCAACTCTCAGATTGCACTGGAATATGGCCAGGCAATGACAGTCCGAGTGTGCAAGATGGATGGAGAGGTAATGCGTAAGTACCACCATCTTAGTTACTTTTCTCTTGCTGTAAAGAGACATTGCAATCAAGGCAACTTCTAAAAGAAAATGTTTGTGGGGCTCACAGTTCCAGAGGGCTAGAGTCCATGATCATCGTGGCAGGCAGGCAGGCAGGGTCCCGGAGCAGTAACTGAGAGCTTTCATTCTGGTCCACAGGCATGAGACAGAGCTAACTGCAGTAGTGTGGGCTATTGAAACATCAAAGCTCACCCCCAGTGACACACCTCCTCTAAGGAGTGCACACCTAATCCTCCCCAAACAGCTCCACTGGGGCCAAACATTCAAATAGAGAAGCCTATGGGGGCAGTCTCATTCAAGCCACAGCCACCCTT